TTCTGGGAGTTGAAGTCCACACATCTTAAAGTTGCCAAGGTTGAGAAACACTGCCCTATAGCCAATGAAAGATCATCTTTGTTAGGATTTGCTCCATTCTCATCTGCCTTCCATCAGTTATTCCATCTAGCTATAGCAACTGGTGGAAGGAGACTCAACAGCTCAACTACGTTTTTTTTTTTTTACTCCAAGTTTGCACTTATGTCACCCTTGGGTTTGCTTAACTATGATTTATCAAATTAGTTACAATTGGCCAGGTTGACAGAACATGCTAAGCTATAACCAAACCAAACCTATTATGACTTAGTGTGATGCAAGACCAAGTCATCTTTTTGAACTGAATCCGCTCCAGTTGAACATGATAAAACAATCAAGTCCATCTGAGTAGTAACAAAAAGACTTGGTGCCTGAGTTTTGGTTTTATTCAATTTTTTGATGCCACCCAACTCCAACTGATTCTGGAGCTTGTATGCTTTTCTTTTTTGTCCACAATTCTCTCTCTGCTGAGTCTTTTTAAATTCTGCTCCTGAACACTGGGATTGATTTTCTCTCTCTGTAAATGTCCATGGGAGCTAGAGTAGAAATGTTTTAATTATCGATTAATTCAAACACACAGAACTTCAGATCCACAGCAGAGGTGGGTACTTCTGGCTATGGAGAACGTTGACGATCAACGAGACGGATGAAACAATATCCCTATTCAATAAAAGTGATACGGGTATGTTTCTTGACTTAGGAAGGTGGAAATGTTTGCCTAAGATATGTTTGCTTTTTAATCGGTTCTTGCAAACATTTTTTTAAAAAACAGACATTATAATTATGCCAAGGAAAGGGGGGAAAAAGTGGGAGGGAGGGACTAGTCAAACATGCAAGCAAGAATAGATATGGCTTTTTTTCTTCTTCCAGAAGACTGTTCAAGTAGCTTGACTCTAGTGGGTACAATCTAGTGAACATTCAGACAATTTAGCTGAAAGAAATTTATATACATTCCCAATTGTGAAAGGAACAGGACTTAACGTTGACTAGATCCTTCCTCTTGGAAAAAAAAATCAATGCCAGACTGAAATAGATAGTTAGAGAGAGAGAAAGAGAGATGGTTGATTCTACCCACATACAAAAGTGGTAGGAAGCCAGCCACATATAGCAATTAAGTGTTGGACTACAACCATAAAGAGAATTCCATGCTCAGCTACAGAAGTTGAGTGATGTTTGGTCTGTTGTTTCTTTTGAGTCCCTCCAACCTCTCCCTCCCCCCCTCCCCCCCCCCGCCAGGAAGAAACTGGAGGGTGTACTATGTATCCCACCTTGAGCTTCTGCAGGAAAATTAGGACATAAATCTAAGAAACGTGTTGGATATAAATTCATACAAACTTGAAGAATTTGAGAATTCAGATTCAAGGATGTCATTCAATGCCTGATCCTTAGGAAGAACCATTTCATGCCCAGTTCACATCCCCCTACACTCACTAGATGATGTTTTAGCAGGTCTCTTCCAACTTGATTTTCATGGTATTGCCAAATCTAGGGATAAAATAATGACTTACATAGTAAGAATAAGCTCATATAAATGACTCCCATGAAAATGCTGTATGAATACGTTTGTTTTCTCCCCATGAGTGAAAGCATTAGTGCAGATCTTCCATCATGATGAACAACAGTATAATTTGACCCCATAACTGCAATGTTCAGGAGAACATTCCTTTATTCACCACCTCCCCCTCCTCACTTTTTCTCAACAAATTTCTTTTCCCCATCCTTGTAATTCCTCTGCAAACATTTCAAAAGACAATCCCTTACATTGGACAGCCAAGCTTGAAATTTCAGAGTTACTTGCAAATGTGAGTGGAAATTTATCTTACCTGCATTTGCATTGTTGTCAGCTATAACTGTTCGCTTGTATTCAGAACCAGAAATAGAGGTAAGTGGAGAAGGATGACTACATGTTAAGCCAAAATGATAGTATATCCTGCTTCTCAGACCCTTCTAAATACATGTTGATGCTAAGCGTCTGACAAGTATCTCTAATATCACTAACATTCTCCTCCTCATTCAGATATTTATAAATTCATACTCTACCCATAAAGGAAGTCCTATGTTTATTTCAGAGGGGAAATGGGGGGGAAGTTCACATGGGAGGGAGGAACTGCATCCTCCCCCTTGGAGGAAGAGAATTGAGAGACCAAAATTACTTCTACCTCATTTGGGGAAATAGGCCATTGCTCAATAATCAGCAGTGGAGGGAAGAAATAAAGACAAGATGAAATATTTTATTATTCTGTAGTTTCAAAAGCAAAATGTACATATGGGCAACATTACTTGAGTTAAAACATGAGGGTGAGTTTTCAGAAGGAAGAGCATCTGCTTGACTTTTCATTCATGTATAATCTACATACTTCCCATCTACTGGGTTAATACCAAGTTCTCTGCAGTCTGATGCCTATCCTACTGTTAGTGCAGAAAGCTTCAGAATTAAAAATTGGATTCACAGGTCAAGTCTCCCCCATTTGTAATGGTTTGGTCACTCATCTCCTCCTGTATTGGTGGCAGAGGAACTTTTGTTAGAGGGGTTTCAGTTTTGAAAAGGGAATCACTTTTGAGATGAGGAATTACATAGAAAGATTTCTGGAAAGATTCTGATGTGAAGTAGTAGACAAAAGGATCAAAGCAACAGTTGAGAGTGGCAATACACAGTGTGATTGGGTACAAGGTCTTGGCAAACCTCTCCAGAGAACAGTTGGCTACAGCCTGAGAACGAACAAGGGCATACAGAAAAAGGATGGAATTGTAGGGGACAAAGCACACCACAAAGATAGTGATGTGCACAATTATCATCTTGAGCACTTTTTCTTTGTTTGTGCCAATTTGGGAGAGGGTGGCTGGCTTCCTGAGAGTCCTCAGAAGCAGCGATGAACATGTTAGGTTGAGCATAAGGGGAATGATGAAGCCAACCACTTCAATAAATATTGTAATCTTGGATAAGTAGGTCTTCCATACATCTTTGGGAAACCCTTCGAAACATGTTGTTTTGCCATCGGTGGTGTTAGTTGTGGAAAACAAGGAGGCCAGGATCCCCCCGCTGAGAACTAAAATCCATACTCCTGCACACACAATTGCTGAATTACGTCTTGTCCTAACCAAACGAGACCGGAATGGGTAGACAATAGCGAGGAAGCGGTCCACACTGATGCAGGTGAGGAACAGCATACTTCCGTAGATATTGGTCAGGAAAGCTGTTCCTGAGATCTTGCACAACGGGTCCCCAAATGGCCAGTTCCTGTTGAAGTTGTAGAAGATCTTGAATGGGAGAGTGAACACAAAGAGCAAGTCTGAGACTGCCAGGTTGGTCATAAAAATGGTGGTCTCGCTCCGCATTTTGATCCGGAACCAGAAGACAAACAGAGAGGCACAGTTGGTGATTAAGCCAAGGATGAACACCACACTGTAGACAGCTCCATAGAGGTTGTACTTGAAGGAATCATCGGTCACACAGGTATGATTGTTGCTGTGGTTTCCCATTCCAGCACTGCACTTTGGGGCATCCATGCACTGAAATTAAGTGGCATCCATGCACTGGAATTCAGGAAGCTCCGAGTGCCTCAAGAAGCATGTTCTGCTGGTTGAAAGCTTGCGGCCACAGAGTCATGATGCGAGCCTTTCTCCTGAAGAAAACAAGAAGGTTGGGGAAGCAATTAGGTCTCAGAGACTCTATTTAGTCCTACGCAACTGAAAGAAAACACACTCTATGGTGTTCATTTACAAGGTTCAGATTAAATGAAAATTATTTTTTCTCCTATCTCTTTCTGCATACAAGGAACAGACTTTTGAGTTGATGTAGTGGGAGTATCCAGACTCTCATTCACATTTTCTTTCTGCTATGAGAGTAACTCTCAGTTAGTACTTCTTTCAGACATGTTTCATAAGCTAAAGTTAAGTCCACATAACATACTAAGCTAGGTTAAAATATGGTGGACTAAAATGTGTTGGTTCAATTGATATGAGAAGCCAGCTATGGTCTAAGCATGCTGTGTGAACAGACCATCATCTTAACCCATAGTATAGTTTACTGGTTACGTGAACAGAGCAATTCTGTTTTATTAACCCAGATCTAGTTTGTTATGTGAACTCAGTCAAAGGGTCAGGTTCGCCTACCCCTTGACTGCACCCAGACTGCAGTCTGTTCATGTTTGTTTTACAGGATGTATATGGAGATCTTGAAAATATTTGAATAGATCCACCCCACACTTTTGCACAGCACTGCTCTGGGCTCAGTTTCTTTGGCCTTATAACAATAGGACAAAAAGAGTTATCTAACTATAAGGGAACAGCCCTGTCTTGATGGCAGAAAACGTTGGCTACCAGTTTGCTTCTGGGTTCAATTCAAGGGGCTGGTGATGACCTATAAAGCCCTACGTGGCATGGGGCTGGGATATTTGAGGGACCGCCTCACCCCAATCATACCTACCTGTCCCATCAGATCTGACAGAACGGGTGTGCTGAGGGTCCTGTCCATGAAGGAACGTCATCTGATGGGACCCAGGAGGAGAGCCTTGTCTGCTGCTATACCTGACTTTTGAACCATCATCCCTCCAAGGTGAGATTGTCCCTGACCTTGTTGGCCTTCCAGAAGAGCCTGAAGACATGGCTTTGCCATCTGACCTGAAGATGGTGGTGGAGAGCCTGCTAAGTGGTTGTACTTTCAAGAAAATGAATGTGGCTCGCCTGCTGATTGTTTTTTTAATGGTTTTATTGTTTTTAATGATTTCTGTGGTTATTTTTTGGTTGGGTTTGTAGTATTTTCTGGATGTTTAACTTTTTTTTTACATTTAAAAATTTTACTGGTGAAATATAACAACCAGAAGGTATGAAGAAGTACAACCAAAAATATAATATTGCTAATATAATAAGAAAAGAATATGCAACATAGTAATTAAATGAGTGACATTTGAGCAAACTAAGGATATATCCATAAAGTGTCAATATGGAGCTGGCTCAGTTCTTTAACCTATTATTAAATCTAGCCACATAGACCATCTACTGCTTCATCTTCTCAGTTTTAATGCAATAGATTATTTCAAAACAATGGTATTTATATAATATACTTTGATTCTTAATATTCTATTATTCAGGCACCTTAGAGTAATGAATACAGATAAGAGAAAAAAGTGGATCAATATTATTTACAGTTTCCGATATTAGCGTTACAAGCATCATTATTTGACTTTTTCTTCAAAATTAATATAACATCAATTTAAAAAAATAATTTAAAAAATTAAAAATAGCATTGGAAATGAAATGAAAAAATAAAGGGAGAGCATCCATCAAGGTATTGGTTTATAGTAATAATATCAAGTTTTATAAGTCAGCTGGGTGACTTTGGGCCAGTCCCTCTCTCTCAGCCCAACTCACCCCACAGGGTTGTCGTTGTGGGGAAAATAGGAGGAGGAAGGAGTATGAGGTATGTTCGCCGCCTTGAGTTATTCATAAAAATAAGAAAGACGGGATAAAAAGAAAAACTAAAAAAAAAAAGGGTTGGAGTCTTAATTT